AATCTGATTTCATGTGAATATTTTAGAAAACATATTTAGAGCCGTGGGGGCTCAAGGGTTAAAGCGCTTGCCTCCCAATGAGGTGCATCGACTTCGAATACCAGCGATAGCGGGGTGATATGAATTCCGCATCCGGCTTGCACCGACCACAATGCTGACGTAAAATATCCTCAGTGATTGACTGAGCAAAGTCCTCTTGCCGTCAGGCTAACCATGGGTGGTTTTCGTAGATTTTCCTCTCCGTGTAACGCAAATGTGGGGTAGTTTTATCAAAAAGTCCTCCACGAAGGCAAATTTTTCCCCAATGCTTGTCTTCGTCTTGTCTTCTTTATTGGTTTCAGAATTACAAGGCTACGGAGTTGAATATTGGTCGACTCAGAATTGGGTGGTTCAGTTCAATGAAATTATAAAGATTCATTAAATTATTAGTTTAGTTACCTTTTTATAACTTTGGATTGTTGGTGATTTGCGGGTTAGAATATTTTTTCTCGAGTTGTTAATCTTGTTGCCACTATAAGTTTGATAATGATTTTAATCGGCACCAAATTCAAACTGATTCCAAGCTCTGTTATGAATTGTTAATTTCCCCGAATTTATGCTTATTAGTTCGAGAGGGATCATAGAATTTTGTTTGCAAAAATGAGCATCCTGGTTATACCTTGACTTTTTTCATATGTATTTTTATATATAATTATGTCCTTTGATAAAAAAAGCAGTTTCCAATTGTTGGTTTAGGGGGTCATAGAGATTAAGGTACTGCAACGTTGTTGCCAACGGGCATGATAGTGGAAATGTGTTCCGCATTACGCATTAGCCGCCTTTACTTACCAGATAAGAAAAGCTGGACCATCTATCATAGGACGAACCCGGATCTACGCAATGACAGCTCAGTGCTTTTCTACTGTGGCTAGAGTAAGCAGCGCATCAGTTCGTAGAATTCAAGAATCAAATACGCGAACTCATTTACTGTGATTTATGGTTTAGACACGATGATGTCTCAGCTTCAAACACTTGTAAAAGGATAATAATAAAATAAAAAAAACTTGAATCTGTATTTAGTGCAAGTTTCATTGATTCTGTATTATAGCCTTCTCAAACAAGGACAGGGAATATGGAATAACGAAAATTGGTTCACAAAACACCAGTCAAGATGCTTACTTTCTGAGATCGTATAAGTTTAACTTCCAGTTCTTTGACTTGCATCATGAGCTGTTTTATTTCTAGATCATTTTTCTTCATCTCCACATTGCAGGCTTCTACATCAACTTTTTTGGAGATGGGACATAGCATCTCCGAGATAACAATGAAATTTGGATTTTCACGTACGATCATTTCACGAGTATACCGTGAATATCGGAAATACACCAAAATCCCCAGACATGAACATTAAACATATTTGGGATGCCTCGCAACGTGATGTTCAGCCTGAAGTCTGCGAACTATGATTTGGATCGAATAAGAATATGTATTAGTGAAATATGAAGAAAAAAAATCTATTAATTATAACGCCAAAGATCAGGTTCAGGTGATTCGAGTTCAATATAAATAAAAATCTACTAGTGTATTTTAAAATACACGGTAGACAAGGAATGTATGGGACACGAAGTACCTTGAAGTCAAAGATATTCAGGTAATGAAGCGGCTAACCAGTTCTCCAGACCTTAATCTCACAGAGATCACGTCTGATGCTCTTTGCAAAGCTTTTGCATCCCTAAAAGTTTCCCACTCCAAAAAATTCTCTTAAGAGTTGTTTTTATTACCCCAAAACGTAATGATTAATCTCGTAAACAATATGAAAAATCGTTGTAAAACTCGCCTGGCTGTTAAGGGTGGTCATACCCAGCATTATATCATCCACTAGAGCCATTTTGATAAATCATTTTTGGGTTATTTTGTTGCCGTGCCTGACTGGAGGGTCCAACCTACCTTAATAAGTTATTATCCATTGGAAATAATTAATAACTGAAGGAAATAGCTCATAAACAATAAAAAAATTTATTGTAAAAAAATAACAATAACAAAAACAGTTCATTAAATGATTCCGAATGAATCATAATATTCCGAAATATGGTTACAATTAACCATGAAACAATAGTTTTCTAATCAAAGTTAAATGACAAAAAACGATGAGTATGAGAGCTTTAAGAAAAGTTAAGTGAGCGGGTGAAGTAAGTTGCTTTGAAACTCAAAATCACCAACAGTGCCGTTAACTTTTTTTTATCATCTTTTTTATCATTAGTTTGATGTAGTTTCATGTAAAGGTTTAACTGAGTTTCTCGAGTTTTCCTCAAATGTTTCGGTTTATCCTATGTGTATTGTCCTCTGCAATTGCCCGCCAGTGTATATAATCTCGATCCCTTTCACTATCCAGTTACTATTGTGGGGATAGTAGTTATCGACCATGTCAACCTTCATCTAGGAAAAAGTACCACATCATTGAATCGAGTTAACATGAGTCATGTTGTAGTGTTAGACACACTACACTATCATGTAAAATTCTAGTTCTCAGATGAACAGAACAAAAACAGGTAGCCGTTATTCAATTCAAACCAGCTTCAAAAGTGATCCGTGCCAACCTGGTTTTATTGAGAAAAGATTGGTAGGTGATTTAAATGTGTTACGGTGTGTAGACAGATTGTAAATATATGTAAATAAATAAGTAAATTAGAGATTTACCAGCCAGTCTTATTCTTCTTTCAATGTGATGGATGTTGTTGTGGATCTCCGATAATCTCTCGTCTGTCTCGTCCAACTTCGCCTGCTCTATGTGTTCCTCGCTTGGTTGATACATTTCTAAAGAATGAAAAACTACAAAGACGTAATTTTTTTTTTAAGAATATTAGTCGAAAATCTATGCAATAGAATGAAAAGTGACTAGTTTCTAGTGGCAAGAACAGCCAAACTTACAATTTCTAAGAATAAATAGAAAAAAAAAATTCAAAATAAAAAGTAATATTTTTAAAAACCACGTTTTTGCAGCGGAGAATAATAATAATTAAAAAAAAAATTTGAAAAACGAAAAACGTGGGGCGCATGAAATACATAACAGTAATGTTATATTAGTGTGTGTATGTGTGCTCTTGAGAATATGTGTATGTATATCTGTAATTGTAATTGTATCTGAATGTGGATGTGGAATATGTTTGTGTATATGCATATGTATGTGGATGTATATGTGGCTGTGCATGTGTATGAGTAAGAAAATGTGTATATGTATGTGTATATGTACTGTTATGTATTTCATGCGCCCCACGTTTTTCGTTTTTCAATTTTTTTTTAATTATTATTCTCCACTACAAAAACGTGGTTTTTAAAAATATTATTTTTTATTTTGAATTTTTTTATTTTAAATTATAATTTTTTTAATTTTTATTTTATATTTTTTAAAAATTATTACTTTTCAATTATTATTCTTCACTACAAAAAACGTGGTTTTTAAAAATATATATTTTTATTTAGATTATTTTTCTTAGTCAAGAGTAGTCAAGACTACTACAAGACCACTACTAAAATAATAGAACTTTCATTTTAAATTAGGGATACAAAAATCTTTATAGAAAAACAATACCTTTACGACTTTAATTAGTTTTATGCTGATGACAACCAAAACAATCTGGAAATGAATGAGGAAAAACTGGATCCTGCCACGTGGTTTTTCAGCCAATAAAAATACTCCGACAATAAAAATCTTTTCACCTGACATGTAATACTAATTTGAAATAATGGAATCGACAAGAAAAGACAATCTCGAAAATAATTTTTTTTTTAAATTTAAATTTTATTTTACTTTGTATGTCTTTTTTCTCCTCATTTTCATGCATTGTCATCCAATTCTGAACTATGTGCCAAATTTGAAGTTTGTAGCTAGTCGGGAAATTAGTTTAAAATCGATTACAAAATTCCACCCGGACAGACATACACGAAGGCAAGTTTATATAAACGTGGTAATAATAAAATGGCTATCAGCGAGATTCTTCTGAAAAAAAAGTATTCTCTTTTGATGGGAGTAAAATGACGTAAAAAATGAATTTAGCAAAAATAACCAAATTTAAAGACGTTTGTTTGGGTAACAGTACCTGCTTCAAGCTGCAACCTGTGTTCCGAGAAATCCCTGAGACTAGAGTTCCCTTGCAGAGACTAGAGTTTGACTTGAACAAAATATTAAATTTCGTATAAGTCATGTTCACTATTTATTTTGTAAAAGTATGAGAAGTTTACATTAAACGTTACTTTTGCACATGGAACTCCGTTGGTTATCTCATGGAAAAGTGTTGGTGATATTTTTTGGAACGTACAGGCACTTCAAGAAGAAGACCTCCCACCCACACATGTGATCTATGACGTCGGTGCCAGCTAATCTTTTTCAGCAAAATGGCGTTTTAAAGTTGAGCTAAGTTTCTCTACATGAGTTAGATTCCTAATTAATGATAAATTAATAAATACAGAGCCGTACGAATTAGTTGAAATATAAATCTTTCTCGTCCTCTCAGAAATTATGTTATTTGCACAAATTTCGAAATACGTAATTGTGTTCTCAAAAAATTATAAATTTTAAAAAATAATTAAAAAGAAAATATTTTAATTCTGAAATTATCTCTGTTGTAATGTAGTTTCTGCAATTTTTTGTGTTCTTAGGAGGCTAATCCCCCTGTTCGCTGCCGCGCAATAACTTCAATTGCTGCTTCTCAATAATTGCCGTTTTGTAGAATAAAACAGTTTTTTCAATGGGAGTTGAAATTATTCACTTAAAATATATTTACTATAAAGAAAATTCTGCTTGCTTACGTTAGTGCCGCCACTTTCCACGTCCAAAAATTTATTAATTTAAATTAAATGTTTCAGTCAAATTTGATTGGCTAATAGTATGAAAGATCACGTGTGATTCTATTTTCGTTATGATTCTATTAAAATCTATTAGTGAAAATAAATATTTTATCTTACTAATCATTTTTTTAAAAATAGCATTTAAAATTAGAGGTTTACTGTTATAATAAATTTGGGGAATTCCAAACCGCAATTTAATATTTTCGCTTGCCAAACAGGCTGATATATTAAATACAATTTGTGAATGAAGCTGATCGTTAAGTTCTAAATCATTTAGTCCCGCAGTGAATTGATCGTTAAGACACGGTTCCCAGCAGATCACCGAAGTCAAGCATCACTGGCTACGGTCAGTGTGCGGGTGGGTGACCACCTGGATCAGTCTGCGTAGGGACCGAGGGTGTGCGGTATTGGTCCTCGTTAAACTGTTCTACCGTAAAGTGCTCGACTTCGCGTGCAGGTCGTCGGGCTACCGAAGCGGGGGTGCCATCCCCTCTGCAGAGGATCAAAATTGTGATGGCATATCTTCGGATCATCCTCAGGGGTGTTTCCCAGACCGTCGCCAATAGCCCATCGTGCAGCTCTAGTGCGACGTAAATTAACTACAACAACAACAACAACTAAATCATTTAACGAATCTCTTTAACAGTAATTTATAACAGAATATTAATCTAATTTCATACCCTCCAACTGCTACGGAATTTCCGTAGTTTCAGAAATCTTCTTATCAGACGGTAGCAAAATTAATGCCTTAATATTTAAAAAAAATTAATTTTAGCGTAACTTGTCCACTATTACTTATAAAAGTGCAGGCCATATGGCTAGATGCTTAAGTTCTGATAAAAGTTTTATGAGAGATCCATTTGCTTTAAAGATTTCTACTTTGGTTCGCTACCACTAGAAAGAATTATTTTCAAAATCCTCATAAGTTGGAGGGTATGTAATTTTCACCAAATTTTTTTTTTGTAACAGTTATAAGGTTAGCCCCCGATTCAAATAAATTCATCTTGAAAATAAAGCGTAATAAGGAATATATATTATAGAAATATGTTATAATAAAGAAACAATAGTTTTAAACTCGCAAACGGCTAATAAATTTAGCTACTGATTCAAATAAGTTTATTGGTTCATAGAATTACTTTATAATAAGGAAATAACTCTTATTGTTAAATTCATAATTTAAAAAACAATCTAAGTCACAAACGTAGGAATATAGGTGAGTAAAAGCTGATAAAAAGCTGAGTAAAATAGGAAAAATAAAAATTACGGGTATTACCTTTAAATTTAGGATACGTAAATATATTTCAGGAAATTGACTTTTATTAATGTTATTCATTTCTTTTTTTCTTTTAATATTTATACCTATATATGACTTAGATTAATTTTATTCTGAAGACAACCAAATATACATATATACGTATATATATATATGAAAATTAATATGGGAAAACTGCATCCTATCTTGAGAA